CGACTCCCCTCTGCCTGGCCCCAATACTGGTCTTGGGTTATCCCCCAATGGGATCAGGGACACCTGCAGTGAAGACACTGCTCACACCTTGTTTCGGATGTGATTGATGGGACTTGCACGCCCTACGACTATCTAACCCTGTTGGAAAACACACTCGCTCCTTTTCTTGTTCCCGACCCCTGGGGAGGCAAGCACCCTGCACTCTGTCTCTTTATTTTCCCTCAGTGGCACAACCGCTCCTTGGGGCGCACGGAAACTCCTTATGGGAGTCCAAAGCCTTGCCTTTGTCTCAAGGAGCAAAGAACAGCTTCTAACTGCTGACCTGTGGTTTGCAGCCCAATGAGTAGCCCGCCTGGGCAGCAGCACCCTAACCCAGACAAGGTGTCAGGTGGATTTGGTGACAGAAAGAAAGAAAGAAGGCAAAGGTAGCAAAGCTTCAAAGGTTTATTTCAGAGCTCCCAGGTGAGGCTCACGGGTCCCTAAATTGGGGCCTGAGAAGTCGTGCTTCCCAGGAGGCAGGGGAGAACAGAGAAAGGGACTGGCGCATCCTGAGCTCCTGGGTGGGGTTCACGGGTCCCCAGCTGGGGGCCCTCAAAGTCATGCCATCTGGGTGAGAGGGGGAGATTTTATAGGTGGGATCTGGGGGGGAGGGAGTAAGCTGGAGCATTTTCCATCGCAACTTTGTTGTCTGCAGATCTGGGGCTAAGCAACAGTGTTGTCTGCAGATCTGGGGCTAAGCAACAGTGTTCAAAGTGATCTGTAACAGGCTAGCCTCCTGCATCTGGGCTGGAAGGTCAGGGAGAGGGAGAGGAGGCCTGGCCTCTCACAGTGTCCTTGAAGTGTTTTTCACCAGCTTGGGGAATCTTTCCACCTGCCTGCCCTGCTAACTCCCACTTCTGCCTGACACAATGGAAAGGAAGTTTCCTGGGGGAGTGGGGTGGTCTGTTTCTAAAACACGTGGACTCTTTGCTGGATTTGGGCCTTGCAGCTGGTCTGACCTCCAGCCCCTAGGTCTTTGGATTTCAGTCAGTGGCCTGCTGCATTCCCTGCGGATCCCAGGAGTGTCAGCCGGCGGCCTGTCCTGGATTCATCCACTTCTGCAGCGTTAGGCCGGCCCTTGAGAGGAGTCTCTCTACCCTGACATCGGCCCCCCAGGCTTAGAACTCGCTGCCTCGACCAACAACCGTGTGAACCATCTCTCTTTTTTAAAATCGTTTTATTAGGGGCTCATATGACTCTTATCACAATCCATACATACATCAATTGTGTAAAGCACATTTGTACATTCATTGCCCTCGTTATTCTCAGAACATTTGCTCTCCACTTAAGCCCCCTGCATCAGGTCCTCATTTTTTCCCCTCCCCACTCCCCCCTCCCTCATGAGCCCCTGATAATTTATAAATTATTATTTTGTCATATCTTGCCCTGTCCGATGTTTCCCTTCACCCACTTTTCTGTTGTCCGTCCCCCAGGGAGGAGGTCACATATAGATCCTTGTTATCGTGAACCATTTCTGTGAGAGGAACTTTCCACGTAGATGTATGATTTTCATGGGTTTGCCTCGCTGGAGAACCTGCCTTAAGACATGTGTCCTTGAGGGGGGACTCTACTTTGGGCTGGTGGCTGCTCTCCCCGCCGTATCCTGAGTGCATCCAACGAGAGGGCTTCTCTCCAGCCTGTGTTGGCCAGTGCTCGGCTGCCCTTTGTAAGGTCTCCAGTGGACGATCCCTCAGAAGTGTGGTAGTTACATCATCATGTCAATTTGAGCGGGTTATGAGTGAAGGGGTGGAGTCTAGCCTGCCAATCACTGTATAGCCAATGAGGCCTCTGTGTGGGCGTGGCCTTCCCCTGAGGATTGTGGGAGTCCCAGACATTCTCTCTGCTCACTCCCTGTGAGACTCTACTGACAAGATACGTGTGCTAGTGCTCTGAGCTGGGGCAGCCACATGGAGGCCCCACCAGCGCTGAGATACAACATCACTGGATCCACAAGACTTCCCATCCACTGGCCTGTGATCTTCCTGCATTTGGCATCATTGCATTTGTTTCATGAGTCTGAAGAGGACTTTATAGATTGGTATCAGACATATGGACTAATACCGGACTTATGGACTTGATCTGGACTGGGCAGGGACTTTTTCTCAATACTCAATTGCTCTTGTATATAAACCTCTTTCTCATTCACATCTGTGTGTCTACGGGCTTGTGTCTCTCGTCTGCCCGGCCATACACAGAAGTGAACGGCTTCTTCCCAGTCTGCTCCAAGCTCTGCTGAAACCCGTCTCCCATGGGCCACCCTGTTGGTATCTGAGATACCAGTGGTGTCACTTCCAGCACCAGGGCCACACACGTCACCAAGCACA